TGTGTGTGTGTGCATGCGAGCGTGCATGTGTGTGTGCATGTCTGTCTGTGTGTATGTGCATGTCTGTCTGTGTGTATGTGCATGTCTGTCTGTGTGTATGTGCATGGCTGTCTGTGTGTGTGTGCATGTGAGCGTGCATGTGAGCTTACCCTGCATGCCACTGGGGCCGAACTCCTGGCGAGTGAGGAAGATGGCGTGGTCGTGGTGCTCCGCGTCGCCCGTGTCCTGCTTCTGCTGCAGGAATGCCCAGCGGCAGACGTTTTCCAGGCTCTGGGACGGGTTCCCGAGCTCGATCAAGCTCATGGACTGGGCAGAGGCAGACAGAAAAGGGCTGTGTGTGGCTCAGCAAGTTAGGACACGAAATCAGAAGGGTGCTGGTTCAAACCCCAGGGTTAAAAGTGTCTGCTGAATAAATAAGTTGTAATGAAAGGCCACCTTTATTCATTCATCTTGCTGACACACATCATTAGCAAGCAGTGGTAATAATTATACAACATTATTATAATAATTATAGTAATGATAGAAGTTATGGAATTTGGTCTATAATTTCAGTTATGGTTTAATATGGTTTTGCACCACTAAATAATTTTTAGTTATCGTTAGTACTGGCGGGGGCTCCGTAAACAGGGGAAAGTCAGGATGATTCCCAGGGCCCCTCAGTCACAGGGGCCCCAAAAATTTGGAGCATAACTAAATTGATCTGAGTTGAGAGCCCAATACGATCTGCTTCCATAGGGCCCAAAATCTATAGCAGCCCCCAAGTACTGGTCAAACTGCACCTCGTGCCAAGCTTAGGTGTTATTTAGTGTTTACATTGCTTCTCTTTAGGTGGCGCTCTTTCTGTTATAAACGTCCACAGACCTTCGAAACCCATGTCTCTGATTTAAAGGCAGCGTGTGGCTCAGCGGGATAATCCTCTGTGCCTGGGATCGGAAGGTCTGTGTGTGTCTCGGCAGAATAGTCACGTCTGCTGCATAAGGCCATTAACCCCCAGCTCCATGGGTGCGGCTGCAGGTGGCTGCCCTTCGCTGCCAAGCTTATCCTCACCTACGTGTGTCTGTGCGCCATGGAGAGTGAGGTGGGGTAAGCGAAAGGAGAATTTCCCCACAGGGATCAATAAAGTGTTACTATTATTAAAGGTGTGGATGCAAACAAACCCACACTTCAATATCTGACCCCGGAATGCCTCTTCTGGCAGAAACCACTCCATGATCCCTTAGCACATTATTTCCCAATCTGATCCTTAGGGACACACAGCCAGTCCACATTTTTGCTCCCTGCTAGATAGTCCACATTTTTGCTACCTACCAGTACCTGGTTTGTGGGTCCCCAAGGACCGGATTGGGCCTCTGCAGACTCTTAGTGTTCCACTTTGTCTTCTGGATTTGAATAGTCACCTTAGGTTCTTTGAAAGGTCTTGTATAGCTCTTGCTCTAATGCTACTTACATTCATTGTCATTTCAACCTAGCCACACTTCTGCTTAGCTGGCTCTATTTTTCTGATGTAATCTGCCTCGCTTGCACGTTGCTTTGGACAAAAGCTAAATAAATGCAAATGTAATGTAAATTTATTGCACATTTGTCCAAGCTCTCCGGTCGCTGTGGTACGGCATGGGCTAGCTTTCTCCCGACGCTGATATAAGACACCTTTATTGTCAATATAAAAACATCCAATGCAAGTGCGAGCGGCAACGCTCATGCAGAAAAGCAGCAATCTGTGCGAGATCCAGCATTGCGGAGATGATTATTAAAAAGGCACAGCGGGTAGGAATATATAAATAAAGGGAATAAAGAATGCGTAAATAACCCTGAGTAGAATGCGACGGCAAAGCTTCACCCCAAAGGCGCATTAAACACGTGACGTGCTGCGAACATTCAGCATGAAAGAGATGCGGAAGCTGTTTAGCCGCCACACCTGACGGGAAGACGCCCCCCCTCCCCGCTGCGATGCGCGCGCCGCCAGGCGAGCGAGAGGAAACGGGCTCCCCTGAGAGTGTCATCACACGCTGGAGCAGATTCCTGTCCCCCCCCCCGGCTCTCCAT